CCTTCTGATTCTCTCCCCCATCCCACCGGGAGGGGAGTAAGCGAGTGGCTGCATGGTGTTTAGGTGCTGGCTGGGGTTAAACCACAACACGCAGAAGTGTAACCTTCTGTAACACACGGTACAAGAAGGAGAAAGAAAAAAAAGGTGCAATTTCCTACTTCCAAGTGTCATTCTTTTATGGCAGCAACATTTCAAAACATTTTACAAAATAAACTTAATTAAAACCTTTTGACTCACTGCCATGAGTCACCACCTCACAGTGGGTAAATCATTGCCCAGACAGCTCATAGCCTACCAGAGACACCAGGAGGAGGACTTACCCCAAGCCCAAGAGTCCTGTGAGCTACAAGATATCAGGCAGTGTTCATAGCAGAGATGCTCTGAGAGCTGGCAGACTGACCAGACCCTCATTCCTGGCCTTAATTACTGATTTTGATCCCTCCCACTCTAGTCTTTGGCTGCCTTCCATACCTTGCTCCAGTTTTGCTTCTTCACTGTCCCAAACTCTCTCTGGTAGAGATATTTCCTTCAGCCTGAACTTCTGCCTTGTCCTGTAGCTATTACATGCAAATTATGCAACATCAAGAACAGTAGCCTCTGACCATGGCCCTTTTATTCCATTTTGGACTACAATCCTTATGATCTCTTCAGTTCTTGATCTTTCTTCACTTTCACCCTGACCTCTGCAAATTCATCCCAGACCTGGCTGCCCACTTCCTGACCACAACAGCTATTTAGCATAACAAACAAGAGGCAGAAATTAACAGCTTAGGCAATTGACCCATGGCAGCAACTCAACATCAAAATTAGAATCAAAAACCCAGAATTTCTGGGCCTGCACTCAGCTCAGCCGCCTCAAACAACACGTTTTGAAAATACATCCCCTTTCTCCCTCATGGTCTCAATGCAGTGCTCAGCTGCCAGAGCTGTATCCAGGAAGGTTATTCTGTCAGTCACAGCAAAGCAAAATGGACATGGCTAGGATTTTCATTTTTCAACTACAAAGCTGAGGCAGGAGAGAGAATTCTACCTTTAATTGAAAGAAACAAAGTATGTAACACAGAAAAATGACCAGTATTGACTACTTACTTCCAAAAAGTATTTGCTACCCCAAATAGTCTTCCATTTCATTCTACTTTTCTAAAGTTTTAAAATGAAAGTATTTGCTAGCTGCTATTAAAAAAGCTGGAAAAACAACCTGATAGATATTTAAAGAAAATTTTAACAAGTTATATGAAATGAAAACAGCTCCAATGCACTAATTACATGACCTGTAGCTGAAACATTGTTCTGATGTTTATTTTAGCCTCTGCATGGGTAGTTTTCCCTTGCTGTTAATCCTATTAGCAGTAAAATGGACTAAGGCTTTGAATTCCTTTGTTCTATTTTTTTACATGTTTAATTGCTGAGTTACTTCATACTGGTGACATTTTGCATTTGACTAGTTTCGTAAATAATGTAACTTATTCAGCAACAAAACTTTATCTTCTTTACAATCTAACTAAATCTGCTTCCAGACAGACCAGGCAAGGCATAAGTAAAGGGACATGATAAGTTTGCATTTTGTTATGCTCCATGAAATAAAAGAATCAATTCTAAATAGCTTTTTTCTTTCATTGTTCATGGATGTGTCATTTTATTTATGAAACCTTTTAGTGTAAATTAAATAAAGAGAAAATAATGACAATGGAAAAGGCCAAAATAGTGATATTCCTATTATATTTGATTATATCAGATACTGTGGAAAAGGAAATGGATGAAACAGTAGGAAAAATTTGTATTCAAAGCAAGTATTAGAATCTGTTTCAAAACAGTAAAATCTAACACTTAACACTAATCCCTACTGTGTAGTTAATCATAAAATCACCAACTTATTAATTTTGTCTTTTGGCTCCTGTTTAAAGTTCCAGGCCTTGCAAAGACAGAGAGGCAATAAAATTAACCAGCCTTTCTGGAAGGGTCTTGTCACTACATTTTTCTTGATTTTCTTGTCTTCAGCAACATCACATTTCTTTAAACTAGTCCAACACTCCTACTTTCAATGCTCCAAGTCACAGTCACTCTTCTGTCTTAGAGGGACTGTCAACACATATGCTAATAAACCAGAGTACAGGATGTTGAATGATATGAGGCAGTCCCTCTCCCTGGGGCTAAATATGCTGCCTTCACAACAGTCATGGGGCCTTACCAGCTGCTGCTGTGTGGGTATCTAGAGGCCCCTTTCCAAACTGCCTTTTTAATTTACTTAGTTTAGAATGTTAAACACAAAATAAAATGTGCACTTTCAAACATCACAGCAGCTTCTAGTCTTAAGCAAGAATTGTGAGTATTGTCTTTAGGACTCCACTCCCAGTCTGCCATAGATTTACTGCATTATAATGATCACCCCATTTCATCTGGCTGTTCCACACTGTATTCAATGACTACTCACAGATTTCTCAGAGGTGCTGAGCTGTTCCTCTTTTTTAACTCACAGATAACGCATTTTTAAAGAAGTATCTTTTCTTCAGGATTTTTTTTAATGTGTCATAGATTTGCTAAATTAAGTTACCAATCCTTTTTCTTCCTTGAAACTTTAAGAGAAAAAATGCCAAGCTACAGAATATACTCTTCCAGCAATGATACGGGGTACTTCAGATTTTGGCTTTTAGCTATTTGTGTGGGTGACTTCAGAACTGGCTGAGAGTCTATCACATGGAAAAGTTCCAAGCTTGCTGTCTCAGCAACCTTTTATTCCGCAGTACCATACCGTTCTAAATCACCTTTCATTCTAAAGAGTGTACATTTTAGTCATTTGTGAGTCAGGGATAAAATGCACTCAGCTGGCTGATCATGTAACATGCTAGTTTTCCTTTACACAGCATGTGCATATGCCCTTTTTTCCTCCAAGCGCAGCTATTAACAACATTTTATTTCTTGCTTCTTTATTCATTCCTTAGCATCCTAGCCTCTTTCCCCAGCTCCCACCCTAAGTCTGGTTCTAAGCAAAGTTTACAGTTATGTCTTTTTCCCAAAGGCACACTAAATTCTAACTGGAATAGCAGATCATACCTTACATGTCACTCATAACATGTAAAGCTTTTCCTTAATACTAACAATGAACAGACATGCTGTTACACACTGTTGTGTAGGTTATTAGGCATAAACACCTCTGAAAAATGTGGCCTCTATTCTGTAGCCAGCTGTCCTTTTCATCAGAATTCAACCTAGGCCACGATCTAGGCAGGCTGTCACCAGACAGTCAGGCAGCCTCAACTCTGGGGAAGTCAGACTGAAAAAACTACTTGCCCATCTGAATTTTGTTGGCACAATATAAACAGCTTATCTGAATACAATATGACCCAATGCCACTTCATCTCCACAGGAAACTGCAGTCTAGAATAAAAATGTTTTTGAAAGGGTCAAAGTCCCGCAAAGAAGTGATTTGGGATCAAAGTCTGATTTTCTATGCAGGTTATAGTTACCACTGATTTCATAAGGAGTATGCAAAAAGAGTATGAAAAAATTTGTCAACATTAGCTCTGAGTCTCCTGAGGCTTTAAGCTATTTAAACATGGTTGCTTTTTTCCCTGATGTAATATTAATTATCTTTCAGACAATGACAAACAAGAAGCCCTAATCCTATGGCAGCAGTTCGCAGTTGAGTTCTGCAATAATGGATCTGTATCAGAACGTCAGCTCTAATACAGAAAAGAATCTGAAATGAAACTCCTGCAACAAGAAGCATATTGTGGTCACCCTGTCCATCAACAAGCCCTTTAATCTTACAAATTTATTAAAATGCCACAGAGAGATGAGATGAAACCAGATCTAGTGCTAAGAGTTAAGACTCACGGCAGACTCTTTCATCTGTTCCATCGGTGCAGTCCTTCACTCGATCACACCAGTAGGCACTCGGGATACACTGTCCATTTGAACATGTGAACTGCTGACTTGAGCATGTCCTTCCCGCTGCAAGAAACAGGCACTCAATCAGTCTTTTCCATCAACCAAGATTTTTTATGCAGAAAAATATTTTCCCTCTTCCTCTTTAACTACTGCATCCTTCTCAAAAATATTAGGATAAGACTTTCTCCCCCTGTACCCTTGTGTACTCAAGGAGATTAAAGAACATTTGACAAGCACACAGCAGATAACTCTATGAGGCCTTCTGTAGCCTGCAAGGTCACTGCTTTTCTCCACTGAAGGGGTTGACCTCTAGGTTAAAAACTACCTCCCTATAATTGTTCTGCCTAAAAGATTAAATTACCAGTTCTCTCTGTTTTAAAGTCTTGTCTATTATTTTGTTTACTGGGTCAAAATCTGTCAGTAACTGTGCTATTTAGTCAACTAGAATACCACAACATAAACACAGCAGAGCTGGAGGTAAGGCACTGCCTTCTAATACAGCCAGAGTCTCAACAGTCAGGAGTATTTTACATTCATAACTAACAGAGGATCAAGAATTATTATGTCTCATGACAGCTATGTCAGTGAAAAGCAACCACATAAAACTGTGCAATCCCACTTTGATTCCACTACAGCTAACTTAAACTCTCTATTCTTCTTAGGCAAATTAATTGAATCTGTGAAGATATGAAGGGCGAAATTACTGCTAACTTTTCCTCCTTTCTGCCATCTGCACATTTCTTTCTTAAGAACTCATGCTATATCTCAACACCATCCCAGTCTATACACTGGCATTTGGTCTGCTGCTTTACAGAGGCTATCTATTCCTTTCTCTGTCAACAGTGTTACCAAAGTAAGATCAGCTACTGAGATACTAGCGTCACGAGGAAAAAAAAAAGAGCAAGACAGTAAAGTATAAGAAGTTGTTTTAATTCTGCATGTGTGACTTCCAGAGCTGTCGGTCATTTTTCTCAGCAAAAATTTTTAACATTTCAAGAAGGAAAAGCTCCTTCAGGATTCCCAAGCAAAGAGATAAAAAGTCCCTTTAGAATAATAAGGACAAATACCAGGATATGGCTCAAAAACAGCAGCAACAGCACAGTGCCACTGTGTAGTTACTAACACTCAGGATTAACCAATACATGGAGAACAATGCTACAGTGACCCAGTTCAAAAGTCAACTCAGAGCTGCTGCTCATTTTGTATTCTGTATCTACAGATTCCTTAGTTAAAATATAACCAGCACTTGTGCTGACACCTTCTCAGAGGAAGAGGGGAGCAAAAGGCAGTTAACATTAGTCCCAATTTTTCCATCCTCACTGGGAACAAGTGTCAAGATATAAAAGCACAAACCAAGTCTGCAGGCAAAATCCTTCCAGAATTTAAACCTGTGAACCTCCCCAGAATCAAGGATGTTAGTGGGCAGCTGCAGAGCTGTTCAGTTTAAATAATTCATCCAAAAATCATACATAGAATCAAAAGGAAAATAAATCAATTTTATCCTCAGCACTTAAAGTAAATTCTAGTACTAGAAGTAGCAGGCAATCAGTTCTTTAGGATACTACAACACTTGTTCTTCCTGCCTTATGCAGTAACATTGAGAATGTAATTTGGTGCAATACCATCTCAGTTCACTGTTCATCATTTCAGCACATACTTAACTGTATGTACCCCTTAAACTGCTTAGTCACAAAATTCAAAAATCAGAGTAACATATTTTATTATTATCAGTATTTATCTTGCTATCAATACTGAAATAAGAAAGATCCTATGGCTATGGCATTTAGGCTGCTAAATTATTTCTTTGCTCTAAAACATACAGAGAACATTAAACACTTCAATTGAAAACAGCAATTCAAACATTATTAATATATTGTTTAGCATATTAAAGTGAAATACTAACAGGAATTATGTCCTAAGATTAAACTGTCCAAATGATAATGAAAGACTAGACTCTCACCCCATACCAGGACTTTTGAAATTCCTATCTGAATATGAGAAAGAATGGCTCTGGTCATTTTAAATAATAATGGCATTAAATTTCAGCATCACTGAAGATGGTACAAGAATCATCAGCAATGTTTTACTTCAACTGACTGATAATTCCTCCTTTTTTATATACATATAAATTTAAAAATTTTCTAGAAATAAGTGAACTCTTTTTTTTTATAATTCTGAGATGCCAGTGTGAATTTTGTTATGCAATGAATAAAGCAGCTTTTTCTGTGACTGAGACAGTGTTTGGACATCAGACTGTTATGTATTTGTCACCATTTTTGGAACTACTATATACAACTATAAAACTAATATGCACTGCACATTTTTCTCCTCTTTTTAATTCACTGAAACATCAATAATTTTCAGATTTCAAGACCCGGAGATGTCTTTTTGGACACAGTTTCTGTATTTTATCTATTTCAAATTTCAGATTATTTCATTTCTAGAAACTACTTTAGAGAGACTCTTCTGGTAAAAGCTGTACTTACAGCAGGTTTGTTTCTGTACAATCTCAATACGCTGCTGTGTGAATTACCTTTTTTCACAAAGCTGCTATAACATTAGAACTTAAATACTTACGACATCGTTGATGCTCATCTGAGCCATCTTCACAGTCTTCCTCATCATCACAAACCCATGACTGTGGAATACATTCGCCATCGGTCTGACACTGAAACTGATTTCCCTCACAGGTAGGTTGTGCTAGTGTAAGCAATGAAAAAAATTTGTCATTTCACAGACATCGGGGAAAGCACTTTCAAAGAAAACAGTTAAATAAGGAAAAGATGACTTAAAGTTCAAGTGTCAATTGACTGTAACTTCCACTAAACTCATGAAGCATTTGACAACCAAAGCAAATGGATAGAGCAGGGAGGGGAAAGTGGACCAGCAGAAGGATGGTCAAAGGCAAAATTTAGTTTAGTGAATTCCTGCATATGAATCTTCAATTTTGTATCCTTCCCTGGAGACACAGGCTCCTCTAGAAGGCAGGTCACAGCAAAACCTTAAGGCTCTGAACTGCCCTCTGGCAGAGCCTCTTTTTTTCCACTTATATATGCTACCTTCCCTAGTCTCACAGGGGTCTGTTCAATTGCTCTCACTCCACCTCAGGCGCTCTATGCCTGATGGGAAGGTCTGTCAAAACAAACTCATGACTCTTCTCTGTGAACTCATAAGGCAAAAAGTGAGGGTCAGGTCAGAACAACCTGAATATTGTTGTCCCAGCTCCACTCTGTACTTTTCAAATAGCCAAACAACAGGGAGCCATTAGAGAGAAAGTTCAAAATAAATGTTTGAAACTGTGTTACAGCTTACTGCATCCCTAGGTAATACTCCTGGGAAGAATCACTAGCACAACACAGTCCAGTAGACAGGACTCCGGTCTTAATAATTTTTTTTTTCCTCAGGATCATGTTTTTGCAGTACTGTGAAGTCTGCTAGAAACACTTTGTGCTCATGGGATGATATGCAAGCACAACTACCAAAGTAAACAAAGCATGAAAGGAGAAAATTAAATCACTTTGTAGATTTAGAGTTGAGAAGTACAAAATTACATTAGAGGTAATTAGAGGAATAAAATCGGTCACATACTCCAAACAATGCACTTCATACACACTTTTTTCCAATTCTGTTTTAAGAACCGAAGAATAATCTTGCAATATAATTTTAACCTTAGACCAGTTTTAAACAGTTCAAAACTATCTTCCTAGACATTTATGTGCCCCACTACCTATAGCATGTTAACATACTGTTTTTAAAAGCACAATTGATTGAAAAATCCTGAAAAGTTTAATTGTCATCTTCCTAATTCATTACATGTATGAAAATGACAACAGCTCAACTTCCTGCTTATAACTACCACAAATACAATAAGTGTCCGGTGGGGATTTTTTTTGGTCTTTCACAAAGTCAACATGAGTTTTACCTACTCCTTGTTCAAAGCCCAACCACTTCTTTCCAGCTGCAGTTCAGAACTAAGCCAAAATAACAAGTTGTAGGACAACACCATTTTGTTTTGCCAGTTTAAGGCATTCTTCATCCAGAACTGCATTAGTTTTTAGAGCTAACTAAAGTACTAAGCAACAAATCAGACTGCCAAGCTGTGTGAATGACCTCCAATTATTATATGGGTCAAGCAGCAAAGAAACAATCCAGTCTGAAAAGAACCAACCAACTCTCCATCAGCTATGGGGCAAAAACTGGCCTAACCTTTAAGTGGGCGGATAACTGCACCAGCCCACAAGACTTCAAAGAACATTAGAACCAAGAAGGTAAAATTCAAGTGAGTTCCTGAAAACAGACTGTGGAGGAAATTTCTTCATTTTCACAACCTTTTAATGTTCAGCTTGGGAGAATCTTTGTGCATGGATATTACAGCCCGTCTGAATGCAATTGTTGTCCCTGAGCTGCTGTCACTGAGGATAAGATGACCAACTCTAGACAACTAACCAAGCCTCTACTTAAGGTGCAATAGGTACAGCTTGCTGTCCAGGGCCTGAGAGATCAAAAAATTTGGAGCACAAGTGATGGTGGTAGCTGTATGTATATCCAATATTCAGGATTACTGCAATAATAGAATACAGTACATTTCTACATGTACTTAGAACATCAGTCATCAAATGCAGCAGCATTATTGGACACTCAGATTTTTAAGAGAAGGCTAAGTCATGTTAGAAGTTGAGCACTACTTGATTTTCTGACTACCAAAGCCAATAGGCTCAATAAATATGATTCTTAAGAATAGCCATCTCAAGACAACTAGTTTTCTCCCCCTCCAATATTCATTCTTGCACCACAGGTACAGTAGAGCACACTGGGATCTCAGTATTTCTTATATTACACAAAAAGTTGCTCTATAGTTGCTTCACTTACGACAACCAGCTTCATCTGTATCATCCGAGCAGTCTCTAGCCCCATCACACCTCCAATCTGCAGGAATACAGCGACCATTTCCACAGCGAAACTGCCCTCGTTCACATCCTGTGGTAAAGCAGAGTAACAAGCAGGTTAGCAATACCAGCACATAAAAACAGATAGTGAAGTGCATTCCCGCTAAACAACTGTAATCTGTACCTCACCTTATGGCATGGAAAGGAGAGAAAATAATATTATGACAAAACAAAAATATAAATAAGTGTGTATATATATATATATAAAAAACCACCAATGTCTACACACTCAGCCAAAAGAAGAAAAGAACCGGCTCTAGATCTGGACATTTCCCAACTAAATTGCTAGAAAGTTCCCATAATTTTAATATTTGTGTATTATATGAACAACAACAAAAAAACAAAACCAGGAAAAATAACCCAAACAAGTCTCAGAGGAGCACCTACACTGCAGAAACTTATTTAAGCAGTAATATACCAATTTTAAATACACAAGCAGTATAGACTTAAATAAAGGTAGGACATAGTTTTCCACATTATTTCTAAGGGCTAAACATGCTAAACATTAGTCCTCCTCAGAGTCTCTGAGGATTTAAAAAAAAAAAAAAAATATTAATCCCCTTAGCTGATGTGGAAATCTAGTTTCAGCAGTGACTGCTTGACAGTATAGAAAGACCTCAGTTTTGTTTTGTTTTTTAATAATGACCTAATATTTAAAATCTTTCCTCTGAAGTACGAGAAAGCATGCCTTCAGTCAACATTTGAATAGCAAATATTTTTAAAACAAATTAAGCTTTCAGACATTTATGGCTGATCAAAAGCTATCCTGCTGTCATTCCCTCCTGCTTGACCTACTAAGGATTAAGACCTGATAAAGAAGCATTCATTCCCAGGTGTAAATGCAGCTGGATCAGGCCTTTATTAAAGTCAACTAATGAAATCTCCAGTCCCATAGGAAAGAGAAAATGCACTGTTTATGGCTTTTCGTTGTGACTACAGCCTCATAAAAAAAGGAGAGAACAGTTTTATAGGTCCCCAAAACAATGAGCTATAGCATAATTAGGTTCAACAGAGCTCTGTTTCATGTTAATCTGTTGTCAGCACCTCAGCAAAGGGAACACTGAGGTAGTAGCAAAGCCCAACTCTGAAAAAAAAAAAAAAATCCTGTTTCCTGATTTACTTAATAGCCATATGATAAAACTATTTCTTTCAATTATTCTGAGAGATTTGTCCAGAGAAGATAACCTCAGTATACATAAAGCACAACCACCTACTTTTTGAATCCTTGATGACATAAATAACACGCTACCCTAACTTTCATGTAAAAGCAGGCATATCAACACTGTCACATAAACACAGTCAAGTGATGTATTCCTAAGGAATATAGGCAAGCTACTTAATGCAAGGAATGTTCAAATCTGATTGTCTGGTAGCGACATCCTGATTTATAATGTATCCTGCAAATGGTCAAAAATTTCACTTGGATAAATGGTGGTACGGAGTGGTACAGGAGTATGTTCACCCAAATACCTTCTATAGACTAATGCATGATGGTGGTTGGTGGTGCAGGTCTGGGGTTGGTGGTGCAGGTCTCTTATCAACTACCTTTAAAACACAACAACCTCCCTTGCAAAAATGCCCTGAAGGAATGTACAAGTTCACTCTGGAATCCCAGGCCCTCTTGCTGAATTTTGCCCTACAAAGCAACATTTCCATAGGAGATTAGCAGTTAAAGCTCTAATAAACACAACACATAAACCACCACTTATCAATTGGAATTACTATGCAAAGCAAACACTAAATCTGCTTGTATATTTAGTATATTATTGGTACTCAAAACCACCGGAATATTCGTAGCCACTTATTTAGAAAGAAGTTACAAAACAGAAGTAAATCTGCATCCACATGATTAGAATTTCTAATGAAACAGATGCTTATAAACAAGCAGTATAAGCAGTTTATATATTATTTATGAATAATAAGTAATCAAAAAAATTTCAAGCACTATGTGTAACACTGCTAATTTATTTTGCCTCTCTTGTATTAAGTAACTATAGTTAAACATACCCTTACAGTGATAAAAATGAGGAGATAACACTAATAAACTTTTTAGAAAGCATTATAAACATAGCAGCCTTTGTACAGTATGAGAAATGGTAACTGAATGTTAACAGAAAACCTGCAAATCACGCAGTTCTCCTACACTCTGTAATACTTTGCAGAATTATAGTTTAAGTTGCTCACACGTACATACAGTAAGCGCTGTATCTATGTCCCTTTATACGATTCTTCAGCAGACCTCTTACAATTCATTTAAGGCATTAGGCTTTTCAAATGTTACCTTCTATGCTTCCTTATAACTGAAGGCAAAAAGCTCTGAAACACCTGTAAAAATACAAAAGACTGATACTTCACTTACCACTGTTTTATGCTTTCTTTAGAACAAAAAAAATTACATAGCAGATAATGATGTCAATTCATTAAAAACACAGTATTTGAAAAATAAGTAATACGGAAGAAGTAAAAGTGTCAGTAAAATAAACAGTATCAAAGGCACTTCTCGAAAACGTTCGAAAAAGCTTGTGTTTTAACTGCAAACAAAAACAATTCTAACTTTGATAAAGGAGAAAGTAATCAGGGGGAAAATTCGTGATTACAAAATTACTGCTATGAATACCCAGGAGAAATATCCAGAATGAAAGAAAAACAACAATGTCAGCAATAACCAGGTTTGTTACTATAGACAACTATAGAGACCATTTTCTCAAAACTGAACCGTACATATTCTGCTAAAAGCAAGTACTGGAAACTTAGGAGATTTGAAGAATTGTGACTTAGTTAATTTGAATTTAGTTATGTATTTTAAACAGTATTAAGTAAAAATGTTGCAGGCATTACCCACACTCTGACTAGTAACGATCCACAGAAGCAGCATATGGAGTCCAAAACGACTATTTCCATTGGTATATGCCATGCAATGTGAGCCTGCAGTACCTGGGTTTCAGCAAGAGCGGGGACTGTCAGAAGGCAAGGGGTATCTGCTTGTTTATTGCCATTATTTGAAGCCTCAATTCACTGAAGGATTAGTCATTAGTAATTTTATGAAGGGTTTTGCTTTCAGTAAGGGATTTTTTTTTTTTAAATGCCAAGGCAGCTTATGAATCAATCAGACATTGCCAAAAATTAATACTAATGAGCTAATTTCCATAGAAATTCTGATTTACTCTGACAGATGCTGATAAACCCAGACACCTCTTTCAGGCAAATAGAATCCTGTTAGCAGGACTCCTGGAGGAAATAACCACCGCATTTAAAAACAAGCAGTGAAACCATTAGTCTTCACTGTCATGCTTAAAATTTGCTAATAGAAAAGAATCTAGGTGACTTTTGAAATATCAAAATTCAGAAATTATTTAATTTTTGGTGTTGCTCTACTTTTACTATAATTCGGTTTTAGTATTCTGACTGTGATTAAAGCACTACTAAAGTGTGGACTAAAAAATGCACGGCAGACCTTATGAATCACACCAGAACATATATAAGGAAGAATCTCTGGGCATTAACAAAAATAATTTTGAAACATAAAGATCTGTTTCAACTGCTCAATATTCAGGAAAACGCCAAGGAAAAAACAAATATATGATATCATCTTTAATATAAACCAGTCTAGTACTGAAAAATGCAAACGAAAGATCAGAAGTATCATTGTAAAAAATACAATGCACTATTTCTAAACTTATTGCTACACTTACCATCTTTGGGCTTTACACTAACTTTGTCACTAGACTTTCCATAGTTCTGTGTCTGGGATTCTTTTATAAGAGACTCCTGAGTGGATGTTTAAGATTCACAATTTGCTTAGGTAAAAACAAGAAGGCTGGCGCTAAGTAAGAGTACAAAGGTTATGCCAGGTAGTCATTTTCCACTGGAATAAAGCAACATAATAATGATTTTGTCTGAGCAAAAACTGAACAAAACAGTAACCAAATGAAATACATTTATTTTTAATAAATTAAAAGTAAAAAAGAGAGTATCTCTTATCAAAAGAAATAATGCAATGCAAGCTCTATTCAATGCAATTCCCTTATGTTCTGCAAGACAAGTTTTGCCCGACAAGTTTTGCCTGCGTAAGAGTGAGGTATCCTAAGCTAAACCACTGCCAAAGACGAACCCCACCGCCACTAGAGGATGGTAGTCAACCTTCACACCACTAATGAACGTTACTCAATGTCACATCAAGTCATACGGAACTCCGGCAGAAGAGAGAGAGGTTAATAGCTTCAGGCATTTCACAGCACAATGGTTTAACCCATAGGGCTACCGTCTTCAATAAGCAGGCAAGGACATTACACCCTCTTGGCTCCCTCTGTGCTTCATTTGCCCCAATATGTTTCTGTAGAAATAGTTTGAGAATTAAAGCTTAAATTCAGTCTTCTTGTATGAACACCAGAATGTTATGTTCAGCTTATAATGGAAACCAATACTGCCTCACTCTGCCTTACTTCTTGCATTACTTTAGACTCCTTACAGTTCCTCTCCAAACAGTTTTAGTCTTTTCTAATTCTTTTCATACATTTTCTACCTGCCCATTCAACCTTGAAGTCCCTTATACTTTTAACTTTGATTACAAATCTTTTTAATTACATTTGTCATCCACAGCTTAAGGGCACCACGACTGTCTATTCTGACTATACAGAATAGGCCAAAACCCCTCATTCGTTCTTTCTTCCTTGTGCTCACGATATCTTTGAGAGCTGCTAACACCTCTAACAGTTAAGCTTGAATGAAAGATTTAAAGTAATGAAGAATGGATTAAGCCCACAGTAGATTGTACCACTCTCAAACTGTCCACTCAAAAATGAAACTTATACTGCTGCACTTACACTTCAGGAATCATCTCTCTCAACAGATTTTTTTTTTGTGTTTAAGAGAGTGACGTTCTTCAAGGCGATATTTTTTCAACTGACAGTTTCACTTCTAACACACCTGCAGTTTTTTAACAAATAAATGCAAATTAACTGTACATTACAAGTCTTTTCCACATAAATTTTGCAAAAATAAAAATAAGTGACAAGCTCTCTTTTCTTCCTT